GTTTTCTGTTTGTGCATGTTTCTGGATAATATGTATATATTAATATATCCAAAAACATGCACAAACTGAAAACAGTACTTTTATCTATACATTCACACATATCCACATACATTCAATACATACACATTCAAAATAGATCAACAATGTTTACAAGAATGCAAACATTTTGATTGTTTGCATTATGACCAACAGTGTTCCCTTGAGAGGTGATGGAAGTTTTTAGATAAACACAGTGTCTTGTAAAGCTAAATGCACAGACTGTACAGAATGCAATGTTTTGTGGTTACATAAACCAAGTTTTCATTGACTTGATAAAGTTGAATGAAAAGAAATAATTGACAGGGGAAGGCTCAGGTGAAAACATTCAGCAGTATTGAACAAATGTGGTGACAGCAGAGGAAAGCAAATGAACAAACCAATTTGCCTTGACTTGATATCAAGTTGAAGAATGAAGGGAAAGTAACTTTGATATCAACATGGTGGATTTTCTTGATTACTTTTTTTAAGGAACATTTTTATCAGTAATCACCTGAAATGGTTTTCACCTCAAATTATACAGTGACATTGGCCTTTCAGCTGCAAACAAACCTAATCACACCACACTAGAAATTCCTAATACAAATGAATGTACTCCATCCTGAACTGAATTTTTTAAAAATCATCAATTTAATTTCATTACAGAATATGATTTGTGCCACATAGATCTCCCAACTAATTTTCTCATATACCCGTTCCCATTTTTCTCTTCAGTTTTTGTTCTCATATATAGCATTAGCTTTTGACTGTCATCTCTGTAGGACATTAATGTAAATCCCTTGGTTCCAGAGCTGAGGCAGTTTGGAAGAAGGATACTGGCGAGTTTCATTGCCTGGTCAGCGCACTTCCTGCCTGTGGCAAATCATAGGCTGCCTCCAACACAGCAGGAGGCAGGCAAGAGAGCTCCACAGCAAATTGGAGAGTGGTGTAGGAGGGCGGGTGAAGATGGGGGAAAGCAAAAAAAGAGAATGAGAGAGAATTTAAGACTGATAGGAAAAGAAACAAGGATGTTACGGAGGTTGGAAAAGTGTACTGCAGGCAGCCAAGTCTGTCATGGACTTTAGGACATCTTATATATAGCACACAGAGAATGTCTCTAACTTGTAGCAGTTTGCTTGCACACACACAAGCACAATCCACAACGTTCTTATCCCTTAGGGTGAAACAAAATGCATGACCAGAAATGCACAGACACTTTCTAGATGCTACAAAGAGACAGAAAGTTTCGAGATACAACTGCGACAGCAATATATCACACCTCTGGCTCTTGTAAAATCATGTAAAGTGTCATGTAAAGACAGATGCTGCAGGTAGCAATCCATCACAATTCAGTACTAATAAGAACACAGAGGCACAATGCACAAGAGACCTTGGCTGACATTTATTTCAGCTTGTCTCACAATGAAATGTGCCTGGATTTTAGCTAATAAAAGTAGATTTGATACACAACAATACTAGCAAAAAGGTACAAAAAAATTATCCGGGATTACAAATTTCATAAATTCAATTTCAACCATGTCCTTAACAATAAACTAAGTACCTACAATTTAAAACACTACATGCCAACTTTACTGCAACATTGTACAAAACCACTTATTCATACATCCATCAAAAGCTCGTGCTCTTGCTGAGACAGTCCAGTCCTTTGAGACTTACTTTGCATATGGTTGTGTCGCTGCATTTTTTGAAATCCTGATTTGTCCTCCACTCCAGCTTTAGTGGCAAGCCAACTTTAAATGACACCAGTTAATCAATATGTGTAAAGTCGTTTAGACGTGCTGGAGTTCAAGAGGGAAATCAGATGTCAGTTTGGCCATAGGATCCTGTAACTGCAGCTGCTGGCAAACAGTACAACATCTCTGATTTTCCAACAGTGACTTTAAATTGATTAGCCTTTAATTCTCTGAGGTGTTAAACTTTGTTGCTTTAAGCAAATATTGAGCAAGATGTATTTGTGCCTGCCTTTTGATATCTACACTTACTTGTTTGCTAAAGCATTTGTTTGTGTGCTTGTTAGTCGAAGCATATAATGGCTAAAAACGGATAAATCTTATGAAAATGCTATAAATGGATTTCAGCTAAAGACAATTTTCGGATTCTCCACATTTAAAAAAAATATGGGATATGGGGACGTTTTTGTATGAACGATAAATCTGATTAATCCTTTACAGGCTGTGATAACCTGGACAATGTTAAGCCGACAGAGATCGGGTCTGTCCACTGTGATTATGCAGAATAAATATAGTGTAAATGTGATATGCAGAGGCTGGCGTGCTGGCAGTGTGTGTTTGTCAGGGTACATTAACCTGCGCCTGTTTGCTTAGCACTGTTGAAATAGGCACTGATGGCTGAACTACTTTCAAAGACACACACACAGTATTATTCGCTCTATCTCTCTCTGCACTGGACTAAAAAAGCACATTCAACTGGAGTGCTCAAGCAAATAAACAAATATTGAAAGAAGTGGCCACGACTTTACTACTCATTAAACTGCCAAAAATATCAGTCTAGCAGTGTAACATACAAGAGGCCTCTCATTATGATTTAGTTCTGCAAACATTTGTTTTTATTTTAGGATGTCATAAAAAGTACTTGATGGTACAGCATATTAAAGCACTAACTTTGAGTTTTTTTTTTACTATGCAGTAAACACACTAAATAAGAGGGCAACATGATTTATGAAGCATGGAGCAGGGCTAAATGCAACCTTTCACTTATTTTTTAGTTGCCCTGCTGTTATTTGAACTGATAAGGTAAAAGGCTACAACACTCTCTTCCTGGCTGAATATGTGATACATGAGAGAGACAATATCTTCTAAATAAGCAACTGACATTAGTGACCGTTTGTTTTTTTGTGTGTTTATCTCACTTTGTTTTTTCCCCTCACGCTCTGCCCTTTTTCAGCCCCCAACTAGGCGACGTGTGCACTCTTCCCTAATCAGAGGATGATGTGGCCATGTGTCTTCTCTGCAATCAAGGGTCTATGTTCACAATGTGACCTCTATTTTCAATGTGCCACAAAAACTGTAAAATCATAACATGAACTGGCTGAGAATTTGTTGGGCTTCAAAGCAGCATTGTCTTCTTCTCAATGTGTCGAAAGAATGTCAATCTATGGATCTAGAGAATGTGAATGTAAGAATCAACTACACACTGCTTCTATATTATGATTGAGATCATCAGATCACAAATCAAAATGGCAGGCCTCTACTGTGAGTACCTTTTCGGTCACAACAAATCCTGATGTTGTGCTTCTTTCGTTTCCGCCATGTTGTATCACAATGAGGTCTAGTTTTTTATACCGTGCAAAAGCCTTTTGGGATATAATATGAAAATATGGTTAGAATGAATCAATGCTAGTGAAAAAAGATTTCAAAATCAATTTTAGTCTTACCTTACTTGATAAATGTTTAATAATCTGTATCTGAGACTATAATGAGTGTCCGGTAATATAAGCCTTGTTGAACTGATTTGATGATGTATTGTCTTGCAAATCGTTTTGTGCCACCAGTGCCCTTGATGACAAATGAGCCCAATTGGTGATATGCTAATTTCCATGTACAAGTAATCTGAGACCATAATGTTTAATCGGACTCGCAAATGAACGGTTCAGTCACTCGTATGGACTGGCTCCTTTTAAGGAGCCTATAAACCAAGGATCAGATTAACTAGACCAGTGCAATCTGGATTTGAAGATATTTTCTCAATTCTCCGTGTCTCATACAAAAAGGGAACATTAAAAGGATGGTTGTAATGCTCGTGTCTTATAACTGAAATTGAGATCTCGTTATCATGTTTCATCGATGCTTCTTTAGGCTCTTCACACGGGCTGAGCCTGCGGTGAGTCCAGCATCAGGTCAGCGAGGTGAATACTACGGAATAGGAACGAAGAAATTAAATACGATAACCAAATGTGGAAGTAACACATAAGTATTCAAAACGCCGTAGTCTAACATTTCTGGATATAATAATATTTTTCTACCTACAATTACTTTTTAAACGGATGGTTGTTTAATGGAAATATTTAAATATTTAAATATTTAATACGTATGCAAAATTACTAAACATAAAAGGTAATTTATCAAGCGCAGTCTGTGGAAACTGTCTCGCAACGGAGATCGTAACTTGCCGTTTAGCTAACTGTGCTAGTGGTGCCAATTTAAACAAAAAAAGAGAGAAAGAAAGAAAAAGGGGGAAAACACTTTTTAAACACACCACAGAATATTTTGTGATGTATTTAATATAAAATGATTCATATATTGAAGTGATTTATCGACCTACCGCCCGAAACTATCGCAGTATTGAATGTGACTTCTGTTTGGCACAGTTAGTAGGCAAAATAAGTGCTCTGACTAACTTGTCACGTCTAACTTTTTAGAATTAGGCTACTAAAAACTCTGAGACCTAGTTTTATATGGTAATAATTAGCCTAACTTCCCCTAAGACACCCCCCTAACCTTTTATTTTGACTTCCTTTGGAAGCCCTGAAAGACAGCCCCATAATCCGCACCATGGTTTTATGCACTGAAGATAAATGGTTAACTACCTGTTTGTTCTCGATTACATTTGCAAACATTTTCATGGCGCGTCAAGTAGCCTACAGAAAGAGGCTGTGGGACGTAGGACAGGTCCTCGGTCCACTCCTAAACCATCCTATTCACGTTTTTCATCATAATGCCAATCCCACGGTTGCAAAATGCTGTAAATTTGTGTCTGGCTATTTCCGAGCAGCTGGGCGGAATTCAATGCCATTAAAGTGTACGAGGACACTGAGTACTTCAACTTGCAAATTACAGCTGCAAACGGGTCAATAAAATACTCAAGCCTACTTGAAAGGCTGTACGTTCATATACAATATATAATTCCCCAACATACTGGCACACGTACCAACTGCAATTACTAACAAGTCAAGACAACATTAAACAAAAGTGACCTGGCACGATGTTTCTCATATAATTTCTTACCTCGTAAAATTCGGTTTAGATCCCCATTGTAGTGGAACGAGATGAATAAACAATTTACAGTAGGTATCCAAACTTATTAAAAGCAGCAGCTGTGAGGTGAGGTAAAATAACGGTTAGGACGATAAATTTCCCGCAGTCACGCCTTCCCGCGTCTCTCTCACACTCCAGAGTGCTCTCGAGCGGGGGAAATTCCTCCGCGAACGACCGGCCACACACACGCTGTCTAAATTACGATACAACGACCTGGACCCGGCGAACCCACAGGCACAAAGTCCAGAAGCGTTAGTTCTAGCGGTCTCAGAAACACATGTGATGGAGCCAAGGACTGTACCACTCCTCTGTTCTCCCTGTGTGTGTGTGTGTGTGTGTGTGTGTGTGTGTGTGCGCGCGCGCTGCGGTGCTGAGGAGAGGACGGGTCGTTTGCGCGAGATCCGCGCGATACTAGACAGTGTCATTAACACCACGAGGACCCGGACCATCACTGAATGCGACAAGAACTGAACAACTCTTTCATTTTTATTTATATTTTTTAAAGTGTGCGTTTTCCACAAATAGCAAAGAAACTTATCATAAATAATGAATCTTCATAAATGGATGGAAACTTCCAGCCTACTTGTATCACAGATTTCTAATGAAAATTACGTAATGTAACCTACTTGTTTTATTAACCCTCATATTCTATTTTGAGATTTTTTTTTGTTTGTAAATATAAAAATATTACACATCTTATTTTCCCTTTTATTCTTTATGTAATGTTCCTCTGCCTTATAATGCTTCAAACTTATATACTCAATCAATCCTCATAGTTATTTCAGTAACCTTGTTGCTACAAAAACATATAGTAGAAAAATAAACACAGTAACGTGAATGCCTCTTTACATTGCATACACAGTCAAAGAATCTTATGTGAAAACTCACCACATTCATATTTTATATGGGTCTCTGAAACCCCAGACATAAGTAATGAAACATTCTTCATGGAGGCCAATTGAGGCATGTTATCAAGTTGAAAGTTTCTTTATTACCAGTTTTTACAGGAAAATATTATGCAGTCTGATGCTTGAATGTTAAGTATATTTTTCAAGCAAGCAGAATAGTCTTGGCCATCTGTCAGAACCCAAACTGAGCATGAGGGTTACAGAACGTCCCATTAAGACCCAATATACATTCAACAATACTGAAATCCCACTGTTTTGAGATGGAGATTGTGATATTGCATGTGAGATGGAGATTGTGATATGTGATTTGGACATAACTAAAACCATCATCATGAATTTGCACTTGCTTAATGGCTATTGCCCGGATTCCCTTAAAATAAAAGCTAATTTTGCTTTATATACAGTAGTTAATCAGTTAATTAGCAGTACAGATGGTGAGGTTTCAATGTGGCATCATCTCCCCAAAGACTGGCCTGCAGTGGCATTTTTCATATAGTTGTCCCTGCTTAGAGGACATTAGAGGGCCTTTTGGCTTTCATCAAAGAGCTGATGTGAAAAGCACATGGCATATGAATCGCATTTTGACGGCTGTGAAATGACAGCTCTCACTGTAGCTGTGTGAAGAATGAAGATCATTAATTACAAAAGCCGCAGCTACTTAATCCCACTCAAAAGAGAGCTTGAGGCGTCTGTCGTTCCCTTTGCCCTCCTCTGTTTTTGGCTCTCTTCGATATCTCTTGTTTTCCCTTCAGTCGCCTCTATTTCTCCTCCCCCACACCCGTCTAGCCGTTTTTTTCCTCAGATTCATTCTTCTTTCTCCTCTGTCCTCATGTTCTTTTCAGCTCTTTTCTTTTCCATTGCAAACCCCACTTTTATCTCCTCATTCTTTCCTTGAATTACTCTTTTATCATCACTTGCCCTTTGCATGTCATGGAGTCCAGTGAGAACAGAATCAAGAGTTAGAGTCCAGAGGTTTTGAACTCAGCAGGGGGAGCGGTAGTGCTCTCCTCACCCTCCTCCTGCATCCCAAGCCCTCAGACCTCATGCTGAGATGGAGTTATCTCTCAAGGCAAGCTGTTCCACTCACCAGAGCTTTGCATCCAAGTCTCCATGCCAAACACCAGCACATCAAACTCTCTCCCAACAAGAAGTGCTATTATCTGCATGAAAGCCAGCTTGATCAGTAGTCTGCCTTATACTGCAACTGAAGGACAACAACAGAAAAGTGATACACGTCTATCTGCAGAGGAGCTGAGCTGGCCCAAAATGTTATCACTTTATACTCATTATGTAAGTACGTCATTCTTTACCATGTCAATTAAACTTTTTTGCTCAAAGATGTTATTAAGACTTACATACTCCTAATTTTGAAATATACCTTGTTGAAGGACATTTCATGTAATTGCAATGTGCATCATATAAAATCAATATACTAGTATTTGGCATTGACTGAAATTCAACTGTGTTTGAAATATGCTTCGCTTCTTATTGGCAGTAAATGTGTCACAATAACGTATATGTCAAACATAAATGTCAAACCTACAGGATTTCATATTAAACTTTATCACAAGCATTGTAAACAGTGGTTGCTCCCATCAAACTCTAATTCTTCAACAGATATTCTGCAAACATTGCTCTGAATATGGTCTGTCCAAATCCTCGAAACACAATTTCTGGGACAGTACTAAATATCTCTCTTTCCAGTTAATCCATCACTTTAGCAGTGCTGGACTCATTTGTACCCTCTAGTGGGGATGAGTAACAGTGTAATTTCTCATATTAGATGAGAGCACATCTGTCTGTTTGAAAACAAACGATTTGGACATGGAATCTGAGGGTGGTACATGCACATACAGTATTCAAACAAAAAACTATTTTGATGCAATATAAGGGTTATCCTCAAGACGAACAGTAGCTGTTCTTTGATATAGCTGAGAAAAATTCTAGATGCCTTTAATGTGAACGTTTAGGCAGGGAAATCGGTATAAGGATATACATAATAATCGCCCTTTTTCTGTCATAACAAAGAAGGTATACAAGATACTGAGATGAAGTTTACTGAATGACTGTTTACTGATCCAAAATACTATTTTAAATACCAAAATTACCCACCTTTATAAGCATTCAATCGAAATATATGCGTCATCACATTCGGCTCTGAATAGTAGCGTTATCAACATTCTGCCTGGATCCATGTGAATGGATGGTCACCCGTCAACTTAATTGAACTTGACAACGAATCTTACTATGTAAGTCACCTTCTATTTCAATGTACAACAGTATCTGAGGCGGTAAATAGCGAAGCGATTGTAAGGGCAAAGAGTTACGGTCCATGAGGGAAAATGAGGAGCTGCACTCTGGTTACTTTCAGAGGAGGAATATACCAAATTTAACTGCTAAAAGAGAAGAGCTTATTTTACTCTTACTTTTGTGTTCACTGTTGCTGTGGTTGCAGCATATCATTCTCTGGTAGTATTTCAAACCTAATCAGATCACATTAGACCAGATCCAAATTATACATCTGCAATTTATGTTGTTTTTTCATGATTTTGAAAGAAATCTCTTATGCTCGCCAAGGCTGTATTTGATCATACAATAAAATGATTAATACTGTGAAATATTATTACAATATAAAATAGATGTTTTGTATTTTAATACATTTTAAAATGTATTTTCCCCTTCTAGGGAACTTGCGCTGTGTCCTCTATCGGACATTATGAGGATTGCCACCAGCAGGACCAGTGTCAGCACGTGTGAAACAACTCCAAATCCCATTGGCCCACGTAGCCCGTGACGTCACAGGTGAAGGGCACCTGCCGTATACGTCACCAACTTTTGTTGTCTTCAGGAGCCATTTGTCAGTGCATGTGAAGACGTTATGGAAAAAAACAAGGCAACTGAGCATTTTAGAAAGTGTGTGCCTTCGTGTCCGAGGTTTCTGACACCTGAGGACACACACTATCTATGCGTTATGTGCCTTGGTCAAGGGCTCTGAATGCGCTCATTGTGAGAAATTCTCAATGAGAAGGCTCCATTCACATTTGTCACTCTTCTCAAGGGATGAGGGATAAGCGTCTGTGTCCTGCGGTTCGGGTCCCACTGCTGCCGAGGCACGACGAAGACTCAGATCGTGGGGTTTGCAGGTTGAGCTTGCAGAGAAGTTTAAGAAGGGCATGGACCTTTCGAAAGCTTCTGCTGCAAGCTCTAGCATTCGGCGGGATCCCGACTCTCTTTCTCTTGAGTCATCTGTTCCAGTGGATAGCGCTACATTGGGCTCATCTAGTGAGAATGAGAACGTGGGGATGTGGTTGGTGATGGCGATGGAAGTGTGAGCACTGATTCTTCCCAACCTAACTCCAGCCCTGCATACAGGGAAATGCTGGAGGTAATGGCGAGCGCCACTAAGAGGCTTGATTTAGTCTGGTCATGTGAAAGACAGAAGCCCGCCTGTGACAGATTGGTTGACCACTTTCTGGCCAGTCATGACCTCCCCTCCCCCAGGAGTCTCCCCTTTCTTCTCGACCTCGTTAGTTCATCTTTTTCATAATGCAGATTACGCTAATAATAAGGGTGTGGCTGAGCGCGGTTATGCGTAGATGCCCCTTGTAGAGGAGATCCTCACCAACTATCTCTCCCAGGGTGAGTCGTCTTCTTTAAAGACCCCTGCTCTGCCATCCAGACCACCTCGCGTCTGAATAGCAGGGCATATGTGGTAGCAGGTCAAGCTGGTGGAGCCTTACACACAATGGCTGTGTTACAAGTTTACAAGCAAGTTGAGGAACTGCGCTGCACCACAGACTTGGCTCTTCGTGCCACTAAACAGACTGCTGCTGCCATTGGGCGTGCTATGGCAGAAATGGTGGCTACTCAGAGGCATTTGTAGTTAAATCTTGCGGACGTCGGGAGGAAGGAGAAAACCTTTCTTCTTGATGCTCCGCTTTCGCCTTCCAGGCATTTCGGCACTTCCATTGAGGTGGTGATCAAGAAGTTCAGGGAGGTGAAGACGTAGTCCGCTGCCTTCAGGAGTCCATTCCCCACCATCCCAAGTCTTCCACTAAAACCTCTAAGGGGGCTGGTTTGTCTAGATCTGAGAATCCTAGGCAGGATCAGAAGAGTAGTGTGACCACTTGCGCACATTGTTACTCATTGTAACATAACCTTCTGAGGATAGCTGTGTTCTTAGCTTAGTTAATGGAATGTCCCTCCTGATTGGTTTGGTTTCCCATTTTTCCAAGGTAAGTTAGAGGCCTAAGGCATCAGTGGCTTGCCCCCTTCCTGAGGGAAGGTTCAGTCTATGTCTTTCGCTTCCCTAGATGCTCTCTCACC